GGGCGGTCCTGTGAGCTGCGCGTGTCGCTGTAGCTCGACTTGAGATCGGGGCCATGTTGGGCTGGGGAGAGACAGAATTCTGCTCCCCGTTCCTCAGGAGCTAAGAGCTTGTCTGCGCTTGACAGCTAACCGGGCCAATGTACGATTTGACTTCAAAGCCTAATAGGTGTCACGTGGAGCTGTTCTGGAAGGACAAACGCTCACTTCCCCCGCACAGGGGAGACTGTTTAAGTGGATCACTCTAACCAGAAGCACGATGGTTTTTCTGGAATAACTGCAGGTGTAAAGAAACCCTATGACCCTAACTGATGTAATGCCTTAACCTTACACACACACGCACACACCGTTCCATCTAGTTAAATATGTGTATACGTTTTTGCAAAATCAGTGCTAATTCTGAAAGTGACATAAGAGGGACAAGTAGGCCAGTGGCACTTCGCAGATTAACAAAAATATATCTGATTATGAGTGTTCCTGGGTAAAAGCCACTTCATCAGATGCGTTGGAGTGGAAATAACAGAATCCAAGATCTATATAACAGTAAAAACTGTAGAACTGGTGTTAATGAAGCTAGTTAAATGGGCTTGATATGCCCCATTCCTAGCTTTTGATATGAAAATGCAAATGTTAAAAGCAGGGGAAATTGCTTTATAGTGGGTTAACTAGTTAATGTATTTATACAGGCCCAGGGTATCTGTGTAAAATTTGTAAAAGAATACCAATTCTGCATTCTCTCCCTGTAATTTGAAGAAGAATGTCTATTTTTAACTCAGGATTGAGTGTCCAGGTAGGTTAAAATGTTCCGCTACAAGTTTGTGTGTCCTGGTGTCTGATTTGTGTCCATTTATTCTTTGTTGCAGAGATTGTCTGGGATGCAGTAATAGGCACAATTTGTATATACTTCTCTTTGTAAATAAGTGCTAGCTATTTCAATTCAGCCCTTAATTACTGGCTGATTTCTTACAGGTATCATGGCTCCAGAGGCTTTTATAGTTTTCTTTTTTTTAAATGAATGTCTTTCGTTTCTCTTTTTAATCCCTGGATTAGTTGCCTTTCACTTCTTGCTGGCTATTGTTACAGGTATAGTATACTAGCAATAGTACCTGAACTGATTATGAAAGTAACTATCCTGAACTGATTATGAAAGTAACTATCCTGAACTTCAGACCTCTTTTCTATTTCAGCCTTTTAAAAAAACTTTTCTTTTTTCAAGCTTGGTTGTTTTTTTTTTATAGTACTTTTCCCCCATTGGTTAGTAGCTGTCATTCTGATTAGCCTTTCCATTAAGAGAGTCAGCAGTTGTTACAGTCAGTCTCCTGGGCTGTCAAACCACTTACCTTGTTCAGGGTTGTAAAAAATCCATATGCTTAAGATGCATAGTTATCACCAGTGCAGAAAGTAGTAGGTCAGCTGACAGAGGGGTAGCCGTGTCAGTCTGGATCTGCAAAAGTGACGAGTCGTGTGGCACCTTATAGACTAACATGTATTGGAGCATAAGCTTTAGTGGGCAAAGACCCACTTTGTCAGATGACTCCTTGTCACTTTTGTAGGTTGACTGAAGAATTCTATATATTTTTCTCTTCTGTAGGCCTAGCTTTTGCTTGGGGTGGTTGGATTAACTACAGCAGTGGGAGAACCCCTCCTGTCACTAGTGAATGTCTATACTGTAGCAGTTTAAGTGTATACATAATGCAAGTATCACATACTTTGGAGGGTTTCTAAATGAGAAGCACTCTGGATGGACTCTTAAATAAGAAAATCTCAAAGGCATGGTGATAGTTCAAGTTGGTGAATAAGCTCTGGCAAGGAAAACACCCTTGTGAGAAGTACAATAGGCATAACACACTGCTTTTTTTTTTTTTTTTTTTTTCCCAGAAACATGTATCAAGAAAGTGAGCATGGGAAATGGACCATATCTAGCAGTGATGAAAGTATGGAAGAAAATGCTGACGCTGAGAAGCCGTCTACATCTTCATTGTCTCGTAGTGGACATGGTAAAACAAGTGGACCACAGTATCCATGTTCAGAAGCCAGAAATGTTGCTCATAAGAGAAAAGTCTCCCCTACGAAATGTACTGATAAAAGTATTTCTACGGAGATTTCACCAGCAAAAAAACAGAGAACTTCCCAAGAGGGTTTAGGCTGGTGCCTTTCAAGTAGTGATGAGGATCCTGAATCTGAAAATCAGCCAAAATATTCACAAAAAGTAGTCAAAGAGGAGGAACCACAAATCATTGTACCTGAAAAGCAGTTTCTACGTAGATGTGAAGATAATGAGCTCTCAGTGAGCCAAAAACCAGAAGAACATTATAATGTAGCAAGTAAAGGCCAGGACACTTGGGATTTATTGAATGAAGGGAACCCTTTCAGATTCTTTGTCACTAAAGTCAGAGGTATTAAGTCTAAGTACAATTCTGGAGCACTTCACATAAAAGGTAAGTGTTTAATTCGTACAGTAACATAGTTTCAGGTAGAATGGGAACATTAAAGTGTTTTTAAAGTATATATAAGAATTACTATAATAATGTGACTTGACTTTCTAAACATAGAAGTAATGAAATTCAGTTATACTCCCTCTTTTGGAAATCTGTAATATAAGTATGGTATAAGCTGTGTTTTATGACCATACATAACCCTTTGGGTACCAGTTCCAATACAGCTTATGGGTTAGAGTGGACTGGTGTGCATCTACCTGGAGGGAGATTGCATGGTGTTTGCATTACTGCCTTCCTTCTGGGATTCTGCTGAGAGAAGTGTTTTTTAATTCATTTTTGTGATTTTTTTTTTTTTTTCAAGAGTGCACACCATTGGAGGTTCCGTGGAATGAAGTGCATTTCCTAGATGCTAAACTCTGCATCCATCACAATTTGCTATTGCCTTATACTACTGTAAATGCTCTTAAAACTGAATTTTTATACCACTCCGATCTGTAGTTGTAGAAATTAAAATCTGGCTGTAACTAAGGATGTTATAGACTAGTTATCACTTTTTTTACTAGTCAACTAATAGATAGGCACTTCCATATTCCTCCTTTGACATGTACAAGGGCCTGGGGCTCTTGTATATTTCAGAGGAGGAATGCGGAACTCCACATACTGCCAGGGGCCAGCGGGAAATCCTGCTGACTGCAGCCTGCAGGCAGGTGCCTTCTTTGAAATACACAAGAATCCCGAGAGGGGCTTTTGTGCATTTCAAAGTCACGGAGCCATCCAGAATGCTTCTAATTTAGAAACCCTCTAAAGCAGGTGATACATACTTTGTCTATACTTAAACAGCTACACTAGTTGGTGAATAAGCTCAGTGTAACATGGAGCCTGCGTTCAGTGGGGGACCAAGCCCCTTCCGGGATCTTGTGTATTTCAAAGAAAGCTCCTGAGTGCAGCCCAGAGTCGGTGGGACTTCCCACTGGCCTGGGCTGTACCTGGAGTTCTGCATTCCTCCTTTGAAATGTACAAGAGCCCCAGGCCCTTGTACGTTTCAAAGGAGGAATGCAGAAGTGCCTATCAACTAGTCAAAGGAAATTTCATTGTCTAGTCAATTAACTGCATTTTAACATCCTTAGCTATAACCCAAGGTTGAATAACTGCTTCTGTGTAATTGATACTTCAAAGATGCCGTACCAGAGAAATAGTCCAGAGTTATAGCTGATGTGCAAAAAATAAGTTCATGTTTCTTGATAAATATACTTTACATATTGAACTTCTTCAGTAACATTACACTAACACTCTGTGTGCATTTAATTAGAAATCTGATCAAAGCACACTGCATGACTATTTTGTGATTTATTATCATATTTGTATGATACTTGTGGGCTGACCTCTAGCAACATGGAAGTGCTTGTACCAATATTTGTAGCCCTGTACTTATGTACAATTAAATTAATTGACAAGAGTCAGGTCTCAAGGTTTGTTTGATTCTTTAGCCAGTATACCCAAAGTACTGATGTGTTGTCTGAGGTATCCATCCCACAAGATTTTACAGAAATAAATCAAGATGCTAAGGATTCTCATATATGAGTTCACTGGCACTTGAGGGTTCTTATCCTTTTTTCAGGAGTGCTCAGCATCTTACTTGCTTTATCCCTTAGCTAAGAGAGAATGTTTGTGCATTTGATCTGCAAAACCAGGTTTTGTGGGAAGAGGGTTAAATTATGTCATCTGATTAATATTTTGGGAAAACATGTATGATTATATTTTGAAGTAAATCTTTTTAGTGTTTCAAACATTAAGATTTTGTTAGTGAATTATATGTGGGCAGTCTATTATAACTCTACTACACAAAGAATATCAAGCTTCTGTCATGGAGCTTTATCCTGCTTGTGTGTCGTCGCTGACTTCAGAAGGGTTCCAGTTAGCTAAAGGAGTTGACCTTTATGAATCCAGTTAAAGGATCGGAGGCAGAGTCTGTTCCATCTGCATTGCTATTCCCTCCTCCTCCTCCTGCTCTTGCATCCCCTCCACTCGAAGGAAGTGGAAAATATTGAAGTGTTACAAAGAGACTGAAGTCTTTCATGTCTAGCACAAGCACAAGGTGGGCAGCATCATGTTACCGTGCTGATGTCCTTCAAACCTGTTTTGGAGGGTCCATCCAATCAGAGATAATAGAGTAGCTCATTAGCTATTGCTCATTATATTCTTTCTCTGTCAACAAGTTGTCTTTGTCTTTAAAAAAAAAAAAAAAAAATCAATGAGAGCTGGACTGTCATCCCAAATTATTTTGCAAACAGTTGATGATGATGCTTGTCTGGACTGCATGTAAATCAGCAATGTAGATAAGAGTCTCCTGCTTTACTGGGACTGTAATTAACAAATTGTTAGATATGAAGTGTATGTAAATATTTTACTTATAAAGATGTAGTTAATAGTATGTGTTTGGTTTTTTTATAGATATTTTGTCTCCTCTTTTTGGGACTCTTGTATCTTCTGCTCAAGTGAGTGTTAGATCTTTCTGCTGTTTGTTTTTTTCTTTCCAATTTTGAAGTCCATTTCAGTGGTTTTATGGTAATGTAATTTCATTGACTTCAAGGTTGCTATTCCAGACTCATCCAATATAACCAATATCAGAATGAGGCCTAGCCCATTTAAATATAACTGGAACAGTGGGGAAAATGGTTAAAACCACAAGTTTTCTGAAGGAGACATTTACATTTGAGTGAAATGTTCTCTTTCATACAAAATTCAGACTGATTCTAAAGAATTTCTTCTTGGGTTTATATATTCATTTTCAATGACATTTAGCGTACAGACATCGCATACCCCAGTAGCAATGTTGATGGTGAGGTACTGCCTTGGTGAGTAGAGTGAGGTGGGCCAGATCTTCTGGGTATTTATCCTAAGCTGCTATCTACACTCCAACGGAGTGCCTCCCATGTGCCTGTTTTTAGCAATATAGCCTCCATGTTGCTGGAGTCTTTTTCTACTGCAGTGAAAAACTCTGGCAATGGAAAAGGGCTCAGATCATTATCCACCAGCAGAGCCTTTCACTGCTTTCAGAGTGTTTCACTGTCATGTGTAGCTACACACTGCTGTATAGACACAACCTACTTTTTATTGTGGTGTGCAGTTACACATAGCCTGTTTGCCTATACGAGGCTAGCCAAGGTCTTAACTACCTGTATCTTCTGGGAATGGATAAGCATTGAAAAGTGGATGGTTGTATACTGTGTCTGCTGCTTGGTGTATAATGGTAAACTTAACAAATATGCAGAGCAAGATGATGTCTAAGGAGTTACATTTGTTTATATTTTTGGCAACACTTAGGAGTCCTGTCATAAACCAGGAGCCCATTGTGCTAGGCACTGTACAAAGGAAAAAAAAAGATGGGCCCTGCCCCCAAAATTTTATATTTGCATTGTTCTCAAAGTAATGTTCTTCTGCTTGTGTTCTATTGCATAAATGTTTATATTCCGTATTCTGTAGTAAGCAGTACATTTGTAAGAAGATGTGTATAAAAATGAAAACTTAAATTTATTTGTAATACTTGAAAGTAGCTTAAGGGAGTAGCTGAGTTAGTCTGTACAGGATAAACTAAAAAACAACAAATGGTCTGGTAGCGCTTTATAACAAAAAATGTAGATAGTATCATGAGGTTTTGTGGGCACAGCCCACTTCAGATGAAAAAACTCCGGTCATCTGAAGAAGTGGGATGTGCCTACGAAAGATTATGATACCATCTGCATTTTTGTTAGTCTATAAAGTGCTACTACACCATTTGTTGTTTTTTACTTGAAAGTAGAGCTTTCAATTAATTGAAGTTAATGCATGTGATTAATGCAGAACAAATTAACTAGATTTGAAGTCCCCATTAATCAGTGTTAATTTAAATTAGGATTGTGTTGTTTGGATATTTTTCCTATATTTTCAGATGTAATGATTTCAGTTACACAGAACGCAAAATGTACAGTGCTCATTTTATTTTATTACAAATATTTGCATTGTAAAGGAATATTTTTTTTAATTCACCTCATCTAAGTACTACAGTGCAATCTGTTCATTTGTAAGCTGCATTTTCATAATGTAGAGATTCTTTTTACATAACTGAAAAATAATGTAAAACTTCAGAGCCTACAAGTTTAAGCACGTAGGGGCATATGAATATTTGGCATGTAGCTACCTTGCAATGCTGGCTACATCAATGCAGTGCATTGTAAATAAGAAGCAGGCAGCATTATTTCCTGCAAATGTAAACAAACTTATCTTAGCAACTGGGTGAACGAGGAGGCCTAAGTGAACAGGTGAATGGAAAAATACTGTTTTTTTCTTTGTAGTGCAAATATATGAAATTAAATATGAAGTGTGCACTATACTCTTTGTATTCTGTATTTTAATTGAAATTAATATATTTGAAAATATAGAAAAAAGTAGGGAATGTAAGCGACTAATCAACTATCTGATAAGCAAAAGCTTATCTGATTGTTGACACACTAGTTGACTAGTCTTTTGCCCCCCACCCCTCTCCCCTGCTGCCTCTATCACAAAGAGGCTACAAGGGGTGGGAAGCGGAGGGGGTGCTGGTGTGAGCTGGTTTAAAAGTCAGTTCCCTCTAGGTCCGTGGGAGGGAGCAGGGGCGTAGCAGGCGGCCAACTTTGAAATGTACAAGAGACCCTGCTGAAGCTCTCGTACATTTCAAAGACTGAAAGCTGTGTGGAGCCTGAGGTCAGTGGGGGACTCCATGCTGGCCCTGGGCTCTGTCTCCTGCCAACTTTGAAATGTACAAGAGGCCCAGCAGGAGCTCTTGTACATTTCAAAGCAGAAGCACCTACGTGGAGTCTGGGGTCAGTAGGATTCCCTGCTGGAACCGGCTCCATGCAGTGTTTCAATCTTTGAAATGCACAAGAGCCCCTGATGGGACTCCTGTACTTTTCAAAGGTTGAACACAGAAGTCCTTATCGACTAATCGAGTAGTCAATGGAAATCCCATTGACTATTCGATTAGTTAATTGAAATGTAACATCCCTAAGAAGTGCAAAATATTAATTTAAAATTGGTACCGGTATTTTATTCTTTAACAGTGTTTAAAAAACCACAATTCATTGTGACTTCTTTAATCTTGTGATATGTTTGCTATCCTTACTTGAAATGTAGTCTTAAATATGAATACTACTGTACACATCAGTGATTTTTGAATGCCAAATATTTTCCTCTGGAATTTTTTCTTTGTTGAAGTTTTTTTTTTTTTTAACCTTTCCTTTCCTTTTCTCTCTTTGCAAGTTTAACTATTGTATAGATGTGAAATGGCTCATAAGACAGTATCCACCAGAATTCAGGTATGAATTTTAAGAATGTTTTATACTACTCATAATGAATGTTGCGTGTCTGAAAGTTACCTAGACCTGGATGCATAAAAAGAGCTAGGTCTCTGTTTTAGGTGCTTGTTTCTGTTTCAGCTTCAAAGCAGTGCACAAAACTTCTGCTGCTATGTGGCACCTAAGATTGTGCTGTAAATGTTTTCTAAGAGTCTTTCTGCCTCTGATCATGCATGCTGCTGCCTCACTCTCCCTGCCTAAGCCCTCCTGTGACTTGTGGTACCTAGGGTAACCCACATTGAAAATGCCCAGGTCAGGGTAGGCTGCAAAGAGCAAAGCAGATTCTCCCAAAATTGGAGGTGAACATTAATCTTGTCTACATAGCCAACTTTTGTTGACAAAGCTTTTGTTGACAGAACAAAAATCAACAAAGGGTGTTCACACTTGCTTCCTTTGTAGACAGAACATGTCCACGTTTGAGACACCATCATCTACAGTGTGAGCCAGGCACAGTATGTATCTCACAGTGCAGTGGTGTGGGAAGGCTGATCTCTGCATATCTTAGGATTCCTTCAGAGTTCTCCCATGGCCTTCTCAGCTCTCAGGAGCAGCATCAAGAGTAGTTCTCTAAGCTCTTCATGCTGAGGCGCTGCCTTCTTATTCTCACCATAGCAGTCTTGCTGCTGCTGTGTCCCTAGTGCAGGGCAGAACAGGAGTGTTCCCCAAATTGAGCAACACACTAAGCTGTCAGATACTTTCCAGACAGTTCCCTATGAGCACTGGCTCCCTCCCATTTCCCTTCCCCTGCCCTGCACTGTTCAGAAGTGGGGAGGCTGCATGTAACCGTGAAGGTTTGACTCGCAAACCATGCTCCTGATGGCTACCAGTGTTCCCTCTAAGATTTTTCCATCTGTAAGCAGAGTGAGTTTTGTCTTGTGCACCAATATTGAGGTCATGTGCGCTTGCCTGGACATTTGCCACTGTGGCAGCCAAGTTATTAACATATCTTCTATGTATATTTTGTAAAATCTTATGGAAGAAAGAATATTAAAACAAAGGATAATAAGGTTCATGATTTTAAATGTTTAATATGAAGTCAAATAAAAAGAAAATTAATATTGCAAAATTTTTAGTGACCAACTTCCTCTGTTTATAACCCTTTCCCAGACTCTCCCCTAGCTTGATGTAGAGTAGGTGAACTTCCTTCCAGTTGTATGATTCTATGGTTACTGTTGGACTTCAAACATCAAAAGGAAGTTGGAGGGTTTACTAGCAATATCAGAAGTATGAGATCCAGCAGATAAGTTGGAACTACAGCATCTCTCAACTTTTATTAGGATACTAAGGCATGACCACAGTGCATCAATGCAGGGATGCTGAAAGATGTATCTAAGTCCCCATTGTTCCTTCTGTATTTTCCATCTTGCCAGAAGCAAGTCCAGCTGCTGTTGTATGTTAAATTAGCCTCAAGGCTGCTCTAAGTCTGCACTGCTCACAGTTGCGTAGAAGTCATAGGTGGTCAGGAATAATCACAGTGCAGCACTGCTCTAGTTTTCCTCCAAAATATTATCTTGGGAGCTTTATAGTGGGGGGATGGACACCACAGAGCTAATTCCTTGGCTCTAAGCAAGATTGGGCATGTCCTACCTACACAGGGGATAAGACCCAAGTAAAGAAGTGAGATCACTGCCTTTAGGGTACCTTTGTGCCACAGGAGTGTAAAATCACCACACTGCTTAATGCTGCACAAATAGCAAGGACACCCACTGACACAGCCAGGCATAATCCAGGGCAGGGTGCTCCTTTCCCCTCTTCTGTGGCAGTGATGGGAGCCTGTGGCACACTACTGTGGGAGTCAACATTACCCCTCTCCCCATGGCTGGGTCCCTGCCCTAGCTACTCTCCACCCAGTGTCTGAGCCACGTTGTTTGCTGTCTGCACAGGGCAGCAGAGCAGCAACAGGACAAGCAGCAAATAGTGCTGTGTGGGTTGCTGCAGGCCCAGGGTGCTGAGAAATGCCACTATGCATCCTTCCCTCAGGAAGACTGCCCCCACTCCCAAGGCAGAAGGGAAAGGCAACTCACTTGAGGTCTGGGATGAAGATCTAATGTCTCCAGTGCCACTTCGACTGGTGATGATGGCAGATGAATGGCATCCTGATTTTCCCCCCACCTACCCCTCCCGCAGCTGCTTCCTGGCACCCTTATGCCACACTGTGGCCTGGCTCCTGGAGCAGCCACACTGCAGCCCCAGCTCCAGGCCTAGTAGCTGCCTTGTGGCCTGCCACAGGAGAAGCTACCATGCAGCCCTAGTCAAGTTCCAGCCCTTCCCCAGGGTTGAAATGGGGGGCCATGGCTGGGTGGTGACTTCCCAGCTACTCCTGGGTGGCAGCTCTGGCTGCCTAAGAAGCAGCCATGGCCACGTGGTCCTAGCCCTGACAGGCAGAGGAGCCATGCTGCGGCCATGCAGTCCCAAGCCAGCCACAGCAGTCAAAGGAGCCACGTCAGTGGCCATGCAGTGCCAGCCCCGGCAGGCAGAGGAGCTGCTGCCGCAGCCATGTGGTCCAGACTCTGGAACAGCTGGGGCAGTTACTTGGCCCTGGCCGCAGTCTTGGGAGATCTGGGACAGCAAAGAGCTTCCCAGCTGAACCTTCCTCCCCTCTTCCCCCACCCCCAGCAACAGCTCACTTTTTATTGGTGCTCTGCTGCACGGCTCTGCAAAGCAGGTGGAGAATTTGTGTGCGGCCGCACAGATGCACACCTTAGGGAGAAGCAAGATCACCGTGTAAGTTGTAAATAAGCTGAAAAAAGAAATCACACACACCTCTTTATTTTGTCTAGTTCTCCAACTCCCAGTCAGCTCCTAGGTCCAGGAAAATGAGAAGTTACTCAAACTCTGCTTGCTATATGTTACAGGGCTTAGCCCACTCCAGTGCCGCCTTTGGGCTGTCACATGGATTAGCCAGGGCACCCTCTTCTAGTATCATTTCACATCACTGCTAGGATTGCAGCATCCTCTTCATGACACAGCTCTCTGGCTATGCCACTTTCTGTGTTATCCCCATCCTTCCAGGGGATAGTTTTATAGTCTCTTGACACAGCCCTCTGGCTGTGCCACTTTCTGTGTTATCCCTATCCTTCCAGGGGATAGTTTTATAGTCTCTCAGTCCAGTCACTTCGTCAGTGCAGATGAAGAGGGGCCCAGGCCTGCCCACTACTCCAGTTCCTGGCCGAGGGGCCCTGTAGATGTCTGCTACTTGCTGCATCCCTTCTGACTCCTCTGTAGATCTCCTGCTTCTCATCCTCGTGACCCCAGAACCCTCTTTGCCCTGGCCTCAGCCTGCCAATCATTGCAGCTTACCAGGATCTGCTTTTTAGGACCCCAAGTTTCTGTCTGCAGCACTGCTATGTCAGCGTGCTTGCTGTCCTCCATTTGCAAAGCAACCAGTCCTCCATTTGCAAAGCAACCAGTCCTCCTTCATCCTCAAGCTCCAGGGGTTGATTCAAGCTGCGCTGTGCTGCAATTCTTATGTGGGCCAACATGGCCCTGACTGGTTGCTCTTATAAGCTCCTTGCAGGGCGTATAAGCACTAAGATTTTTAGCAGTTCTTCTGTTACCTTTTACATCCCTACAATGTACATAAGACTTCAGAGTCCATATATTGGGTTTTTAGCTACATGGGTGAGTTTGCTCACTTGTGGAGTCCCTTTGGAACACATGCAAGGCTTGGATGGGTCTGTCAGTCCTTTCCTTTGTTCAGTGCTTCAGTTTGTAGAGAAATTGCTCTAGAGGTAAGAAGCAGGATTTGAAGACAAATTGGAGACTATGCAACTGCCTTTGTATATCCTTTGTGCTGTTATATTTTTGTCTCAAACACAAACTTACAGAACATGTGGGTCCCCTGTTAGCCATTACATCACTACATGTCCTGCTGATTCATAGGTGAAGTCCCTAATTTCTCGTAATGAGTTCATTGTATAGTTAATTATCCTGAAGGAGACATCAAATAGGCTGGGTCATGCTGATGCCAATCTGTCTGGGGGTAGTATTCCGAAACAAAGCATAGGTTGGAGATACAGATATCACACAATTATAACACACACTAGAAAGATATATAAACAAAATTATCATTAGGCAAATCCTAATTCTTCTACTGATTCCTTACATGGCCTATCTTTTATATACATTTTAATGCAGTTTTACAATATTGGTGTCAGTAATATAGTAAATGGTCACTCATACTCCATACAGAGTCACAAGCCCTACAACAGTTCACAAACCAGGGTAAGATAAGCATTCAAATCTCCAAGTCACATGCAGGGACTGATATGATAGGAGAATTCTAACCATGCCTACATCACACACAGTTGTGAAGTGGTGGGGAGATAGTGTCCAGGGATCAATGTCCAAACATTCTGTAGGTTCCTTACAAACATAGGTGCTGCCCCCAGCAATTTGAAAAGGCAAGAAACAAAGGAGTGGGGGGGGGACGTGGAAAACCAAGTACAGGTTGGACCTCGCTGGTCCTGGATGAGGGATTTTGCCAGATCAGAGGAAATTATTTCCAGCCCCACCCTGCTGCCCCACCAGGCTTCCCAGCTCCCTTCCCTTCCCCTCTTCCCCCAGTCCGGCAGCCTAGCTGAGCTGTGCCTTCCTCCATCCCCCAGCAGTGTGGCAGCTTCCCAACTTCCAGCCCCCCTGGGCAGCCCAATTGGGCCAGGTACTGGGCTCCCCTTCCCCCACATGGGGCCAGACTCTCCCCTCGCCCCTCCCCCCACCACCGCCACACTGTGGTGGGACTCTCTGATTCTGGAATATCTGTGATGTTATCAGACCAGAGAGTCCTGGTTTATAGAGGTGCAACCTCTATAAGCAAAATAGTCTATGTAGTAATAGCACTTTTTGTTAATGCCTAACTTTTAACTAACATACACACTCAAAGTGTCTTAGCAGGAAGAAAACAACCAGATACTTCTGTGGCTGCTAAAAAGATTAAACAAATACAAACTTAAGGGTCAGCTTCAAATGAATGAATGGTGGTAAGCCCTAAAACTATATTGTTTGGATGTACAAAAGGAGTTAAATATTGTAATGCTGAGTGTCTCGGCTCCTAGAAAAATTTCTGATTCACCAATTCAGAGTTGGGTGTCTGAACTCTCTATAGAATAAATGGGAAGAGAGGCATTTTAGACTGGTTAACAAAAGCTAGAATATGCTAGGCAAGGAGCTGCTAAGCTAGCTAGTGGAAGATGCCAACAAGAGACTGTGATCATGGAAATAGAAGCGCCTAAGTCCAGGTTTCAGGGAGGCATGTATCCCTGCCATTCTCAGCTATGAACCCTTTGTTGGAGTTAGGCTCCTATGCTGTTTTTGAAAGAAGCCAGGAACTTAGAAAAATGTCCTTCACTTGTAACTGTCACAAGAGGGTGCTATTGCATGGGTGATCAGTCCGGCAACAGTCCCGTAGAAAGGCCCAACATGGAACGATGAATTCACAGCAGACAAAATATGACTTTACCAAACTTTATTGCAAACAATTCAGAAGCAGTTTAAAAGCAATGTTTAAATTTAGTAGTTAGTCTAATGTTAACCTAATTTTGATATCCATTCACACACCTCTCACCCTCTGGGGCTGGCCAAACCCCAGGTAATGTTGGTTATTTTGATTGAGGCAGAAGTCTGACATGCACGTCACCCCAATATGCCGAATCGATGGACTCCGACTTGTGTGACAAAGTGGTGGGGTATATATCCCCTTGGCAAGGGACAGTTCGGGTGGAGTGATGTCTGTTGATTTCACCACCTGCGGGTGTGCTTACGACTGATCTTGGAACATCCTACTTACAACACCCAATTCTGCTTGCCTAACCACGAGCGATAAATAGTGGAATGTCTTTGGTCGAGTTCCTCCCTTGCTGACTCTTCTTATTTGGGAACTTTGTGCGTGCTGAGAGAAGCAAATCTGCACAAAAGAAAGCAGTCTTTTTCTCAAAGTGATAAGTCCATAATCCATCAGGGCATTGACTCGGACCCTAATATGGCCTCTCTTCAGCTCACTTACTGTTAATTCACTCATGCCAATCATTCAGACTAACCATGATTCGTGACAACTTTCAGACCATTGGCGAGAGTACTCTCCCGGGCTGTGGAAGACCAATAACTCAAGTTTCTCCTTGGCCTGAGAGGGAGAAGGGATTTAAAGAGGAATCTGTCACCTCTCTGGGGAGTGCCCTAACTGCGGAGTTATTCTGATGTGGGACTCCCTCTATCTCTCCTGTTTGACACTGTCCCTCTTTGGATAAATATTTTGTCATTTGGGCTAGATAGAGAAAGCAAGCAAGAGTGACTCTGTAGCCTGATGGATAGAGCACTTATCCAGGATGTGAGAGACCTAGGAACTAGTCTCCCCCCCCCAATTCCAATGACTCTTCAACAGGATAGATTTAGGGAGCCCCATGTCAGAGTATCTCCTAGTTTCTTGTATAGAGCACTCACTGGAGAAGAAGCTGATCCTTATGCAGAAGCGGACTTGAATGTGGCTTAACGTTTTCTTCCTTCTTGAAGTGAATGTGTTAAAGAGAAGCATTAACAAAAGTGCCTGCTCCCCTAGAGATTATTTTATTGGTATGTTGTTGGTTTTTTCACTCTCCTTCCTTTTTTTGTTTTTATTTTGTTTTGTTTTCCAGACTAGTCATGATTTGCAGGCAGCGAGCATATTCACACAGCACCCAGGATAAGAGTTTGGGTGCTCTCACAGTACAAGCTATTGTTGATATCTCCCAGTCACTTCTCTTCATTCTCATATTTGTGTGCTCTAGGCTGCTAATCAAAATGTGTGCATTGTTCTTCTAAATGTCACTTTGCTGTTTCCCTCACAGTAGAAATGCAAAGAACTGGAGCATCAGGGAGTGAATAGAACTGTCAAAATGCTGGGGTGAACTTTGAACAGCAGTGCTATATAGATCCAAGGGGATGTTATTGTCTCTCTAAGAAGGAAGAAGAAAAAGTAAGCAGGGACAGAAATTGTATTGAATCAAGTTCTCTAGTTCTTGAGCTATACAGAGTTCTGAGTGGCCTGAAGATGATGTTCCCTATAGCTTGAAACTTCTCTTTCATTTCTTCAGATGACCTAGAGCTCTGTGCAATTCAAAAACTTGTTCTTTCACCAGCAGTTTTTGGTCCAGTGAAAGATATCACTTCACTTACCTTAACTCTCTTATGTCCAAGGACCAACACAGCTACAATGCTGGAAATCTTTCTTCTGAGACCGTACCTTCATGGTTTCTAAATTGCTTCCACTTTTCTTCCAAATGAGTTTGTAAATTTCTTTCTCAGAAGCTTGTGTCTTAATTACTTCTTTAAACCAACCCTTGATGTTATTGATGGGCACTGCAAATTATAGCTCCCTTTCTCTGCCAGAGCATGGGAGATGAGAACCAGAAATTGTAGTTACGTGAAAGAGCTACTATGGTCAATTGCTGCCTGAGTAATCCTACCAATCCACTTTTAATCATTATTAAAATGACCACTTTTTAATTTTGTTTTAAGGAAAAAACCATTATTAATAGTACACGGTGAAAAGCGAGAATCCAAGGCTGAGCTGCATGCGCAGGCACACCAATATGAAAATGTTCGCCTTTGCCAGGTAATTCACGTAGAGGGTTTGTTTTGTCTACAACGTCATTATGTATCTGAACATAAATCCTACCGTTGCTGTAGGCTCTTCTACTGTAAAACATGCATTATATTCAACCTATTACTGAATTAAAAGGAAACCATATCTTAAAAAAAAATTCAATTCATGTGGTTTACAAAGTAAAATATTGTACTCTAAAAGTATATGATGTGGCACGATCTGAGGGTGTTGCTCCTCTTCTCCCTGGACAGTGTAAATAGTGTGGAAATACAGAATTATCTTGCATGTGTAGTTTCCTGTATGTCTCGCTTCTCTTTCCATATCAAATAAACCTTATTTGAAGCTGCATGCAACAAATCTGTTACACCCCAGAAGGCTTTTAGTGTCTTTGGATACACTGTAGGGATGTCATTGTGTAGATGACTACATGATTAACCAGTAAGCCTGGGCTTCTCAGTTAATCTTATCAACTACATGCATTTTCCTCCTCCCTCACCGCCTCTGTATTCGGCGGGAGCGGGAGCTGCTGCCTGTGAGGAGCTAGCTTAAAAACTGACTCCCATGAGCACCGCATCTACCTGTCCCCCCACCTTCACACCTTGATAGAGAGGCAGCAGCACAGACAGTGAGGGGTATACACTGGAGCTCATACGCACAGGAAGCCAACTTTTAAGCCAGCTCCCC